AAAATTCTCCATTTATTTGTACTGAATTAAATAACAATTTGGAGCAAAACAAGCACTGCATTTCCTTTTTTCCGACCTTGTTTTTACCTTACGTACCCTACAATCTTTAAATTAATCGTTAACAACCCAGTGCTTGTTACAATATGAATATTTTGTGATTCAATTTTATCCTCAATTCAATTTTTATTTCCTTTTGTTTCCAACGTATTATTACCATACCCAAAAACACAGTTTTCTTATGTGCGGATCTTTACTTGTAATTAATATTTCATTGATGTGGAAGCAGAACATTATCATTTCAAAAGTGCTTGACGGTGCCACACTTTACTTTTTTGTAGACTGGCATTTTCCTGTTTGTGGGAAATGACACCACAAGCTGAAGTTGTCTCCACAGAGTTCACAAAGAGTATCATCTGTTCAAGGGTAAGTCTGTTTTAGAAGGGCTTACAAACCGGCATCTTATATGCGGGGGAGCTAATAATTGGACTAAAAAAAGCGTTCAAAACAAGATACATAGCACTGCTGTTTAAAATAATTTTTGAATTTACTCAGTTTTTCAGGTTCAAAACGTCTGAAAAATCTAACTCATTTCAATACAAACTATAGGGAGTCATATCCGAGGGGCTTACCTTATTATAGGAAATTAAAGCTCCATGAAGTTAACGTATTGGAAATTAACGCGAATTTAATAGACAACGACTCTGATAGAGGAAAGTAAAGCGAAAGTAGAGGGTAACATTTCCAAAGGAAGTAAAATTAACGCTACGTTCACAAAGAAACCAAACTTTTTTAGACAACTGGAACAAAGTTAAACGTATAATCCGAAATGGAAACTTTTTTTGTTGTTGTTTACTGGTAAATGGGCCTATAACTTGGGGGGAGGGGAGGGAAGCTTGTAAGTGAGGTCGAGGTTTATGCGTGGAAGTTTACGGTATGTTTTCAGAATTCATATATTCTATTTAATTTCGCGACTTTTGCCCACAATGTTCACTACCGTAAAGCGCACAGATACATAGGCCAGTAGGTCTGCAAGAATCCAACTAGCGGTCAGAGCGGGACTAGAACCCAGAACCACTGGATTGTGAGTCTGACATGCTGACCACTCGGTCACTGCCTACTGGTGTCAGCGAGATAATGCGGTGGATAATTAACCCTGTTATTGAAAAGAAGCCCATCCAGATCAAGTAGTTCCCAAAACTAGAACCTAAAATTCTTTTTTGTTGAATTTATATAGGTGTCCTTTACGTACGCTGAAGCTCAGATGCGGATCGATGACCCAAGCCAAACAGATGAAATATCCACGAGTCTCAGACACCTTAACAAACTGGCAAAGATCCTTAAAGCAAGACGCATTGATCAGGGGTAGAGAAAGTTCACTTTCACGTAGCAAAGTAAAACTGTATGGTTTTATGTTGCAGAAAAGCAGACCTTGTTGTTTGTGCGTCTTTTTATTTACAACAACTAAGTGCATGCTGTCGTTGATATTTACGTCCATCATGATCTTGATTTCAGGGCTCTCACGCTTGCATCACCAGAAGTTCGATTTCATATCGATAGCGAGACACATGACCCAGTGGATCTTCAAACAAAGGAGCTGAAGTAAGTGTTAAGTACGAGTGTGTCTCTAAGTCCGATTAGAGTCAAAGCCTACCGCCAGGAGCGGATTACTCTAGATTCATCCACAGGATTAAGGATTAAACGGAAGAAAAAGGAAACCTGTGTTACATTTCTCTCCCACACCTTTTCCTATTTTCGGCTTGTGGTTTCACAGAAAATTAAGTTACTGTAGTGTTGCAAAGTAACCAATTTGAATTAATTTACTTACATTTTTTGCCTCACTTTTCTCATTCTTCGTTTTTAGAGAAACAAACTCACTGGTAGAGGAGTTCATGTTACTCGCCAATATTTCTGTTGCCAAGAAGATTTTTCAGCATTTTCCAGAGTTTGCAGTTTTAAGAAGACATCCGTCACCCCCACCAGCAAACTATGACATCCTAGTGAAGGCAGCACGATCCAAGGTCTGTAGAAGTTTCGTAACTACCTTACATTTTTCTATTGTGGCACGTTTTTTGTGGCAACTAAAGGGAATATAACTTAAAGGTATTTAACATTCGCATGGTACAGAAGTGGATTGATTGTTGGATGAACTTAATGGTAAAATTTCACATTGGTTGTGGCAAGAATGGATACCTCAAAGTCAGATTGTCATCTTCACTCAAAATACACGATAGGAGTCTTTATAACGTAAAGTAGTAAATAAGAGAAGAAAGAAAACAGTAGGTAGTATGTAGGACTTGAACCCGCGTCATTTGATGTATAATCCACATCCGTATCCACTACACCATCAAGGGCTAACTGCCGACACCGGTTAATTTTAACGTACTTTACATGGCTTAAATCTTTACATTAACGAAAGCTAAGCGTTTCTGAAACAGTGCTCAACCCTAATCACTGTACTTCGGGCTAAACCCTGTATTCAACTCTTTTCCTTGTACAACTGACTCCAGTTACTCTGATTTCCCCACTTTTCTTAAAAATGTGCTCAATACATTCGGGTAAATATAGTTTTGCGTGGTATAGAGTATAGCGTTGTAATAAACATAAGGTGTCCAACCTGATTTTAAGGTATCCATTCTAGTCAAAACCATTTCATATTACTTGTAGGAAATTTTCATTAACTTACAGTTCCGTTATGATGGCTTACACAACATACTTTATTTTTTTGTCCGCTACAATTTAAAGTACACTGTAGGCACGCGCTTCTCCCACTTTGATGCAACCACCCAAGCGCTCTCAAGCTATTATTACAGATTTATGTTTTTATGTCAAGCAAAATATTGTGGCATCTCTATTACTAATGTGAACGCACGCCAGTATTTCCTTTTCTCTCTTCTTACTTGGCATCTTGCGCACAAATTGTAGGGGTTAAGAGTTCGAACGCAGTTTTTTTTCTTTTTAATCTAATTCACACCTCTAAAATAAATAAATATATAAAACGATTTATTCGTATGGTAGCACATCCACAAGGTGGTTCCTCCTCTAACACTTCTGATCGAATTTCCGAAGTGCCCGGAAAACAATCCTCTCGAAGTAAGGGTGTAAACCAACAAATTGATCCACACTGACTAAACTGAGTCTATTATGGGATAAAATAGAAAACAGAATGTCGACGGAGGGACTTAAACCCTTAACAATCTAGTGCAAGGGCATTGCACTCACTACTATTGCAAAGACTTTCCCATAAAAATGAGTTATATTTGGATGAGAGTAAAAAATCATTTTCGTATCGAAGGCTTTGTGCATGCCTCTTTCCAAAACATAGGCTTTGGGCAACTCGAAAATGACCTATTAATGTGTAACAGATCCCGCGGAGTCACATGGAAATGGTTTGGTCAAATGACGGGCTGTATATCACAAAACAAAGCCGTGTTTTTTTTTCTGCTGTCAGGGTGTGCATCTTGAGGTCGACAGTGCCAAATCCCTCGCGGTCTCTTTGGATGCTGCTAATATCCCGGATGAACCCTACTTTAACACGCTGCTTCGTATTATGGCAACAAGATGCATGATGCAAGCGGTTTACTTCTGTTCGGGAATGCTCCCGGAAGAAGAGTTCCTGCATTATGGCTTGGCAACTCCAATCTACACGCATTTTACCTCACCAATCAGACGGTTCGTGATAACATATGTTTGTTTCCAATTTAATAACTTCAATGAAAATCGCTATTACTCTTATACTAACCAATAACATTTGCCTTGCTCCACATCATGAAAGCCATCAACTAAAGAGCTCAGTGAACGAAAATAGAACGGTCTTTGGTGCGTTTCTTATGTTTTGCATTTCGCTGTTATATGAGCACACCACGGTACAGTTGTCTTTCCTCGATTCTTGAAAAAGTGAGTCATGTGAAGCAAATTTGACAGTCTTCGGCCATGGCAGTGGTTTAGTGGTGTTGTCATTGTTCTCGTTTTTTGTTGTTTCTTGTTTTCTCTTTGTTCTTTTTGGTATTATCTTGAGACTTGAGTTGCTTTTAAGCTTAAAAGCTCGCTATCGTCTCACCTCACCTGAGCGTGAACGTTACGCTTAGTGTAAACTATAGTGATGTATCCATGGAAGCATGAAGGTAAATTGAACTGAAAGGTACCAGTTGGACTGATGGATCATGGTCTCTACCTGGCGCACAGAAAATACCAAAATGGATAAAAAACAGAACACAACATGAACTTGCATCGTACTGAAACTAAATTATACGATATTTTCTACAGCTACTCAGACATAATGGTGCATCGGTTATTAGCTGTGGCAATTGGAGCTTTAGATTCATATCCAGACCTCCTCAACAAAGACAAAACGCAGGTGGGTGCTGCGCTAACACAACAGGGTACCCACGCTGTTTTCTCTTTTAAGGCTTTTCAGTTCGTACTTCGAAAGTCGGGGTGGAGTATTAGTTAAGCATTTCAGATAGCGACATGGACAGGACAATCCTATCTTAAGGGAACCACTGAAGGCTAACGTTAATTCAGGATGCGGGATGTATATGTTGCAGTGAAATTTATTTTTCTTTTGTTTCAAATTCGTTAGCATTCATTACCTCACCCAAAAACAAAGAAAAAACATAAGAATTTCACACTGAACCTGTTAGTGCCAATAACATACTATTATCGTTATGTTCTTTTTTGTTTATTTTCTTTTCTAGAAACTGTGTAATCATCTAAATTTCCGTCATAAAATGGCTCAGTATGCTTCCCGGGATTCCATCGACCTACATTGTCAGGTAAAAAACAGATCCAGGTAACTGTAAGTTTCTCCCGCCTTTCAACAGGCGATGCGACTCCCTGACTACTTCCCAGACCTCTAATTTCTCCTCGGTTAATTCGTTTCAGATCGGTCACGTGAGGTCACTCTTCGATATGTACCCTCTTTCATACATGTGCCCATCCCCCTAGACTAAGAGCCCTTCTACTTGCCCCCATTAAGCAACAACGACGGCGACGGCTACTAAAACGTCATTTAAACAGTGTGTTCGCGCTACTTCAAACTTTATCTCGCTTATTCAGTCTCGTTCAATTCTTTAAATGTTGGCGTATTTTTTTGGAGTTGGATTGTAAATGACTTTATGAAAGTTCAAGAAAAGAAAGAGAGGGTCGTTGTCTTGTGTTCGCGTCCTCCTCAAAACGTGAAAATAGGGAGTTTCAGGTCGTAGTCGTACAGCGACGGCAAAGAAATGCACAAAAAAGAGTGATACACGTGTAGAGGTGTTCTTTTGCTTCCTAAACATATTGCTTTTTTGCCGTTCTTGTTGCCGTCGCCGTCGTCGTTGCTTAAGCTCTCTAATAACCGTTTCAGTACTGTAAGCGAACACGTTTAGCGGAAAATGCAAAAAAGGTATTTACATTGCTTAAACCCGAGCAGCTCTTGCAACTTCATGAATAGGTTTGTAGAGTATCAACAAATTTACTGTTCTCACGCTCAATGCGTTTGACATTGTAAAACCAATAGACATCTACGTGGTCAAAGCTAACGTCACCATCTGATTTGAGTTTGAAATGGGCACTAAGGGACTTATTCCAGCCCCAAACCGATTTATCTCATTAACGTGAGTTTTCTTTCATCTTTCTGTTCATCTTATATTTCTCGTCTGTCAACTAATGAGTTTTCTCTGAACAGCTTTTATCTAGCTTTCCTATTCTTGATTTTTTTTCTTCGCAGCTGTTTTTCCAAAATAAAGCCATAACAGAAGAGGAGGCGTTCGTGTTGTTCGTTCGGAAGAATGCTCTTCAAGTTTTAATTCCAAAGTATGGCCTGGAGGGAACCGTTTTTATGAACAAACATGGCTCAGGATTTGTCTTCAACGAAGAGGTATTTGATTCCTCTGTTTGGGGTACGAAGAGATAACTGTCAGGCTTACATGATACAGAATCCTAATCTTCTATTTGAAAAGGAATAATGGTATTTTTCGGAAAGGTCTTTCCAAACCACCACAAAAGTGGTTTTCTGTGGTATTTTTGGGGGTTTTTCAGTCGTTGTCTGTTTTTTTTTAATTTTTTGTTTGGTTGTTTGTTTTGTTATGTTTCGTTTCCATGGGTTCAAACTAAAGTTAAGGAATTTAATGTGAATTGTGATGGCTGAGAAGTGAGAAACTCTACAAATCCTTTGGAACTGCAAGTAATAGAAATGAAAGTAAGATAAATCAGGATTCCAAGAAAAGGTTTTTTACGCGGGCGAAGACTGATTTCATAAAACACTGAATTAGATCTACCACTTAAGGAATGTTAGCGAAATTTCAGGCCCAGTGACAGCGCCCGGAAAATGGTACTCAATAGCGTCAATTGTCCCCCGTCTCTCCCGATCGCTTATTTTGGAGATCGATATTTGAGTTGATTGAGAGCTTTAGTATATGGCCTCGCTCTCCATGAATTCTGCGTAGCTCAAGTGGATAGAACGCCCGCCAGGTGTTTTGGGAGGTCATAGGTTCGAATCCTGTGGGGGACTCAGATTTTTTCTTTGTCCCACACTCGTGACGCGCTGATTAATTCATTTCACATTTGTTTCACCGAGCTTAAAAAATTACCATCTTTCATTCTTTCACCACATAGAGAGCTTTAGATTCTAAGACGAGGACGACAATGAGAACGAGATTTTCTCAATACTAAGTGGTCGCGCGCGCGAACCAGCGTCATTTTGGCGGGAAAATGTGGTAGCCATCGTCATTCTACTACAAGTTTTAGCGAAAATGTCACAGTGACGAAAACAAGTTATCAGATGTTAGGAATTTTATCATTTAGCGATCTGGAGAGAGCTTTATCCCCTTCAACGGATATAAGCGTGCTAACTTTTGTGGTGAAAAAAACCAAGGTGAAGCTTTCTGGAGTGTCTATTTTTAGAGAATAGGCGAGAAAACTCAAAATTAAATGTCGTCCTCCTAGTTGTCCTCGTCCTCGAATCCAAAGCTCTCTAATCACTAAGGAAAGCGGGACCGAAGGGGGTGATAAGGGGAGAAAAAGCAAAAGCGGCACCGCCCTTCATCTCTTTTACCTTCCCAGCTCGCGCTCTGCTTTCGTTCCCGTCATCCCTTAGTCACCCGCGTCTCTGGCTCATCTCTAGCACCCCGCTTTAAAAATCCGTGCTCCTTAAAAAGCCCGTAGAGGAGGCACCTCAAGAGTTGTACACTAGAGGGTGTAGTGATTTTGTTGCTTCTTTTAATGTTGCAGAGTTTTTTTGTTTGTTTGTTTGTTTTTTTTTTTTTTAATATTATCGTCTTTTTGTTCAAAGGAGCCATCACTTACAGTTGGTGAAGTCACTTATCGCCTGTTTGATCGAGTGCTTGTGAAAATCAATGTGGATAAGTCGTCGACGGAAAATAAGTTCTTGTCCTTCAGTATCATCTCTAAAAAGGTACTGGTAGAAGATAGGAATAGGATTTTGTTTCACTCCATTTTAAAGGGCTTGAACATCAACCCAAAATTACAAACAACACCTGATGCTATGTTCACACTCTGATA